CATCAGCCAATTTTTTACCCATTCAACTGTGCAGGCATCACAGCTGCAGTGCATCACTGACCACCATGGCTGCTTCACCCATGTTTTCACTGGGTGGGCAGGAAGAATGCATGATGCCAGGGTCTTCCACAACCTCACACTTCCCTAGATGATACAGAACAAATTGAATTTTATTAGTAGATGTTTAGGATTGTGAATCCAAAGAGATGACAAAGCCAGTAGGGAAATACAAATCACCTGAGCAAGGGACTAACGTTAGAGGGATGGGGGTGAGGAGGGGAATGCAACTGGGTTACAGAAAATACAGTGTTAGCCAACTAAGCCCAGGGGTGGGGGGAGATGGGGGGAGGTGGTTCGTGACGTTGAGAAAGAAGATAGATAATCACAAACCCGTACAATGGTCCTCAATGGTGGAGGAAGTATGTCAAAGAAAGTGTCTCAGGCCATATAGAGTCTCATCACAGGGTGGTCCATTGCTGAAGATTCCTCTCAAAGTGAAGTTCATCAGGTGCAGAGGGGGGTTCAGGCAGTCCCTCTAGGTCTGGTCTGGCAGTGGTCCATCTGGTGGGGTCAGAGTACTGGTGGTGGCCTGTGATGTGCTCCATGAAGGTGTCATGGGACCAGCGGATCGTATTGGACACCATGAGGCAGCGTATCAGCTTGAGGTAGTGGTGGGAGATGTGGCAGGCACACAGCACGCTCTTGTTGCTGGGGTCCCAGGCTCCAAGCATTCCCACAATGAGCACATTGACCGTCATGTTGTAGCTGCGGCCTCTCAGGATGTTGACCAGAGGGGCATACTCCCGCTTGCAAGCCCAGGCATAGGTGAAGGCTTGGTGCTGGTTCTTGAAGGAGATGGTCACATCCATGATCACAACCTTCTTGGCCTCTTCATTAGTGATCACAATGTTGGGCTGCATCTGGCTCTCACAGCCCAGGATGGTGTGGTTCACAGAGATCTCCCCTGCTGCGGACAGGATGGCCCTCACTAGGCGATCCTAGACAGCATTGTGGTGGAGCTGCCAGGCTCTGGTGTGTGGCCTGCAGCTGCACAGCACATGTGGGAGGGTCTCTACTGTGTAGCCGCATCATTGGCACCTCTTGTCCTGGTGGCCGAAGCGAACGGCCCCGTTCAGAGGTAGGCACTGAGGCGGGCACACTGAAGGAAGCACCAGTCCGTGAAGCGCATGAAGCTCCCGCTGGGCATGAAGTGGTTGCTGGAGTCCTACTTTGAAGACCTTGCCCCGGTCGGGTTTGGCCCTTGCTAAATTTCCCAGGGCTCCAGCACTAAGTCCGGCAGAATCATCATCCCATCCCTCATCATCAAAGACTCAACCTATCCTCTGCTCCCCTGGCTCACAAAGCCCTACACAGGGCACCTGGAATGCAGGAAAGAACACTTCAACAACTCTTCAGCAGATGCTTCATGAGCACTGCGTGTGCATTTGGTTGCCCCAAGGCACACTCAGAGGCTCAGAATGTGCACTTCAAGACAGCTGAGGAGGACTTGCCATGCTTTATTGCCACTGTGTCCTTCATAACACCTGCAAGGCCAGGGAGTAGTCATTTGTGAGGTGTAGGCAAAGGATGCATGGCATGCTGATGAAGCACAGCACAATGAGGTAGTGCAGTGCTCAGGGACAAGATGTAGCACACCCCTGCCAGAATGTGTTGCCTGAGACAGCCCAGCTGTCAGGGAGCCTTGGTCGGGGAAGCCCTGGTGGATTATTTCCTGGACCACCAAGGTAGGAAGCTAGGAGTAGGGCATTAGGGCCTCAAGAGGTGGGAAGCCCTATGTAGCCGAGCCCCAGCCTTGGGCAGAGGAACTGTTCGATGTGTAGCCTTTGCCTCAGTTTCCCCATCTGTGGGGTTCATGGAGCCACTCTTTTCCTAGGGGCTTCTCCAAGTGGCTGAGGTCAAGGAAAACCCTGCCTAGATGGACCCAGCCTTGGCAGGGACAAACATCTGGATGTGGGGGAAGGCAACACTGGAAAGAGACATTGCTTGGTTTACCTGTGGAAAAAGCTCTTAAGAAAGGAGATGATAGCAGTCTTCAAATACTTGAAGAGCTCCCATAAAAAAAAAAGATAGCACTTTTTCTCTCTTGCCTCAGAGAGGAGAATGCAGGCCAATGGCTTGAAGCTGCAGAAAAATAAATTTTTATTGGATATCCAGAAAGACTTCTTTACTGTGAGAATAGTGAAGCAGTGGACTAGACAGCCTAGGGAAGTTGTGGACTCTTCATCGCTAGAGGTGTTCAAGAAGAGGTTGGACAGCCACTGGTTGGGGATTATCTACATGTAGTTATGCCTATTTTCTACTATGGGTATTTCCCATGCTTCTGGGTTTTGCTGGTTGCTCCCTTTTCCCCCACCCCCTTTTCTGCTATATATGCATCAGGGTGTTTTTAAGCCTTCCCAGAGGCACTGGATGTTGGCTACAGGGCCGGGGACATCAACTGGGATGTGCTGATTCTCCTGTTAGGAGCAAAACCAGAGGTTCCTGACAAGACTGTCTTGCTTCTCTGCTCAGGTCAACCCAATTTTTGAGGGCAGGAAGGAATTTTACCCCATGGTCAAACTGGTATGGACTGTGGGGGGGGTTTGCCTTCCTCTGCAGCAGGGAGCATAGCCATCTGCCTGGGGCCCCTTGAGCATATACTGACAACATTTTATAGAAACAGGACATTGGCTGCCATGGTTCCCTTGCTTTGCCTGTTGCAGGTTAGGGTGTTAGGTCTATGTTGTGTCAGGATTGATGGTAGTCTCATATAGAGTTTAGATTATGGTTG